GCGCACTATTTAAAATTACAACCGGGGGTCCGTCATAGGCAGGGGTCCAACATAGGCACACTTCCCCTATACTAATAAAGCAACAACTACAGATGAGACGAGGAGAAATAAGGATCACCTGAGAATATGTGAGGCCAAGAGACACTACTAAATCACGATGACCTGGAAGTATTCCTTAACACAGAAAAGTAATCCATAGTCCTAGAAGACCTAAACGCCAAATATCCAAATTATTGGAATTATAGAGTTACAAACAAAAACAGAAGAATAGTAAACAACTACTTATATTGAAAATAGAAAAGATACCATATTGGTTAAGCTGTCGGACCAACAAATTATCAGGGCGAAGATACCCTACATAATTATCTGGACTTAGTAGTGACCAAACATCTAGCACTACAAAAAAAAAATACAGAAGCTCTAAAAGAAAAGTCCTAGAGTTTGAAAATAATATAAAAGAAGCTCTAAGAAAGAGTACCAGAACCGAACATACAATCCATAGAAGTAGGTTTAGAGAAATAAACCCTGAACTAAGAGAAATGATGAGAAAAAGGGATTCAGGAAGACAGGAATAGGCCAAATCGACTAAATAGACAAATCAAACAGGCTCCAATAGAATACAGAAGTCAAAAATTGGACAAACACGTAAAAGAAATGGAATGACGACGACAGAACAGGAAAAAAATATAGAGGCTACAAAGAATATTAAGGAATGATAGAAAACCAATTTCACCACTCCACAGTGAAAACGGAATCGTGTTTTGTGAAAGAAAAAGCAGATGTGATGAGGAGAACTCCCAGGACACTTTTACATTGAATTATCACCGAGATAAAGATTTTAAATATCAAAGAAGTCGACGAACCAGAAGCAGAAATGCCTGAAGACCAAGAAGGCATAATCACCCCAACATCTATAAGGGAACCGGACCGAACGAAATAACAAACAGGGCTAGAAAGTACCTCTGAGTTAAAGCCATATTTTATTAAGCAAACATTACCAATGCAATATTGAGATACAGGTTCTTCCCATTTCAATGGAAAGAAGCTTACGTGATAATGTTTCACAAACTAGGGAAGAAAAGTGTTTCCCTTAAAATTACAGGCCGATTAGCTTACCCCCAGCAGTCAACAAAATATAGTAGAAAGAGTCGTATAAACCAGACTCCAAACAGAGACAGACCATCAAAGTAATCGACTAGTCGATTACTTTACAGTTGGATTCAACGATAAACAATATACAGCGGGAGCTGCTTTTCTGGACGTAAGCAAAGCCTTGATAGAGTATGGCATCAAGAGCTAGTATAAAAAATAAAAGAATATGTATACAGCGAGGCCATGGCAAGACTGGTTACCTCGTACTATAGTATAAGAGGGGGCAGTGTTGTAACCCCTACTGTATAGCATATACACAGCTGACGTGCCAAGCAGACCCGGAACTATACTCAACCTATATGCAGACGATACTGCTATAGCAGGATGTAGCCATGAGACACCTACAGACGGCAATGGTTATAATAGAAGACTGGTCTATTCAATGGAAAATAGCAATTAATCCAGAGAATGCTCAAACGGCTACCTTCAAAAAGAGAAGGGATAACCCAGAAGAACAGCTAATAGTACAATACATGCATTAAGATAGTCACCGCTCTCTTGGTAATTCGTACTATCTGCTAATTCCAAGAAATATTTTAGTCTAATATTGCCACAAAGTGTTTTATTAATATCGACTAATATTGACCTGTTATTTGTAAAATCAATCATTTTATCGTCTGAACTGACCTCAATTGTTTGATTTTTAATTGGATTATTTTATTTAATCAAATTATTCTATTTTATGCTGAATATTTTTGAAGGTTTTTGTGTTAAATTTTATATTTCATATGCCATAACAAAATTTTAACAATTTTTCCTACATTCTTATAAAATTTGGTTCAAAAATTTAAATTAATATAAGCGCATTGTTTAAGTTTTCCCGTGGAGTCTATAGACGCCGCTCATTTTGTTCCGGTTGCTCAACTGAGGTCCTGAAATACATACATAATCTAAAATCAAATTCTAATAAAAATTCACCAATAACTTTTACTATAAGTAAAATATATATTATAATATATTAATTTGCTGCTTACCTACCATCTAAGAAATAAATCCGCTACTGTTATACAGATTGCTGTTAGAGTAGGTTTACTCGTGTACAACCTTTCATCCTGGTTGATAGATGGCGCACTCTGCTGTATTAGTAATTATTTTGTATGCATAACCGCATTAATTTAGTTTCAAATATTTTTTATACTTTATTTTGCTGTAAATAGAACTTATCCAAATTAGTATGGTATAATTATCGTAAAAATTGCCAATGGTTGTAATTGATTTTATTCCTCTACGAAAAGTTCTATGAAATGTGAAAGCAAAGATTCTATAGGTACTATCCAAATTCCACATTTTATTTTTTTCCTTGTGAGCATGACTAACAGCATTTTTTCAATTTTCTGGAGTTACTTTTGATAAGGAATGTTCTAATAATTGTTGTAAGTCTTCTAATTTAAAAGTTTTGTTGTTGCGTCAGACTTTACCCTTTACTTGAGACGAAATATTTTCTATCGGATTCAGATCACAGTGGTATGGGGGTAAACGTAAAATAATTACATCACAGTTTAATGCTATTTCATCAATTATATATTTTTTATAAGCTGCTTTATGTTGCCTTACAATAGGTAATAATTCCTTTTTTGTCGAATTCTCCTTGTACTCAATTGCGTGTTTATCCAACCATTCGATTATCTATCCTTTTTTCCATGCCGTTGTTGTCAATTTTTCTGCTAGTCTTGAATGGTAACTAGCATTATCCATGACTATGACAGAATTTTTTGGAATTAAATCCAACATTTGCTCAAAATATTCTTCAAAAACGTCAGCAGTCATTTCCTCGTGGTAATATTTGGTTGATTTTGAGGCAAAACTTAATAATCCACCATTGACAAAACCTTATTCGTTTCCAATATGGGTTATTATGAGTCTGCGTCCTTTTCCAACGGGAATATTGTTTATTCCAGTAGATACACCTTCGATGAATGCCTGACGGGAACTTTTCACATTTGTATCAACCCATATGGTACAGTATGACCTTCATTTAGCCAAGTCTCGTCAAAATAAAAAATGGTTTTCTCTTCTTCTCGGTACTTTTTAATAGTTCTTGGTAATGTAATCTTTTTCAATTAAAACGGATTTTCTTCTATTCTTTTGCCAACGAAATCCCACCTCTCTATTAAGTCCCCATAATTTTTTGTTGTTTATGATTGGCAACTCTACGTTTTCTCTAATTAATGTTTGGATTTTGTCCAATGTTGGAAATTCTTTGTTAAAAAAAAAATGGGTGGACGCTGCGTCTTATCATGTTTTTATGTATTTCTTCAATGTCCAAGGGTTTACTCCCTCCACTCTTCTTGGGAGATGAAACAGTTCCTCCTTTTCTTTCTTTTAGGAATATATAAATTGTTGCTTCCTCAACCCCTGCCATATTTGAACACATGTTAACGACTTCACGAACATTACTTAAAGGACGTTGATGTACAAGTGCATCTTGTACATTTAATATTATATTTTTCGCTCTTAGACTGAAGGCACCTTTAAAACTACACTTAACCGGGATAAAACCTATTGTCTACGTCATTTTTAAATGCAAATAACAAAATATCGACACCAAAAACGTAGGTAGGTAAGACATGAACAATGTACATCTACAAACTAAATGGAAGATGCAAATAATTTCTAATTTATATTATTGGCATAAGCTGTAATGTGTCATAAAAACTACTTAAGTACTACTTTATTAACTTATACTTACTACTTTAAAAACTACTTTATCAGTAATTCCAGGTTTTCATTCAAAGGAGGTACCTATTCTTTTTGTGTCAGGCAATAACTTGTATAGAAAACAATAATCACCTTTAGATTACTGTTTACATTAATTTATTTCGTGAAACATTGAATTCTCTCGTTAATCACCAGTGTATAATTAACAATAATCGTGTGGCATATATACCGACGTGTTTTACGCACAAAAAAGGAATAGTGAGATTAGTGGACACTTATTTTACAGAAGATTTTTTAAAAGATAGTGAATTGTTGACGGCATCTTAAAATATTAATGTTTTTTATTTATTTCAAAACAATTATAGGGTGACGCCTGTGGTTTTTTGACCTGTTGAGGATTTGCATACATAATGTGCTATCAATATGATGGAAAAGGACTATAAACATCTACAACAACTACGTAAACTTGTTTTTTGCGGACCGTGCTTAAATTCAAAATATAGTAATAAAATTATAGTGTCAAATTATAATCAAATCTAAATATCGTCTGTGTCTTTCTAATACCTCGTAGCCCCAAAACTACGATTGTTCAGGAGACAAGAAAAACAGTTTTTAATATTTGCGAAAAGGTTGATGTTTAATTTTTTTGCATTTTCATTTGTTTTTACAACTACCTTTCATATATCCAAAAAGCATTTTACTGATTTTTTAGTTTTTGGCATTTTAATGTGGGTTACGTGTAAATCGTCTCCATGATGTTTTAAAAAATGTGGCTTACAAGGTATTTTCCTATATTGGTTGTACCTATTTCCTATAATTAAATTACGTTCTGCCATCCTATTTTACCGAATTTAAAACGATAAATACTTTAAATGCTGTTATTAATAATAATTTATTTTATAAAAATATGAAAAAACGTAACATTATTTATCAAAATGAGGTAACGTATCATAAAATATATAGCAGTCTACGGGAATTACTTCTTTCAGTTGTTGAAGATGACAATATTTTTCATATTTTATTTTCCTTTTTTTTTGTTGATCTGAGGCCAAATAACCGGTAACTTAACAAGTCTTGGTCTTTAAGGTAGCAAAGTCCAGTCATCGTCAAAGTTTAATTTGTAGTAAATAGTTTCTTCTGGAACATACTTTAAGGCTCGTATATCATTTATTGTAGGATCACCTGCCGCCTTAAAGTAACAATTGTTTGACATCATATGGAAATGGATTCTTTCGTGCTCTTTTAGTCTCTAGTATAAAATCGCTTGGCAAATGAATGCCACGTCCCTTTAACTGACTTTCGATACAACTGTGGACCGAATCACATTCCATTTGCGTGTGTCCTACCTCTAAATACTTCTGCATAATTACAATCCCTTTTTCCACGGCATATTGCAAGAGTGCGTTTGCCAACACCACATTCTGGTTCTGGTATGTGCATCCATTGTTACAAATTATCAAGCTACCCTCTACATTATGACAGTGCTCAGTCAAATACTGTATTATACAAAAAGCCAAAGTAGAAGCAGTCATGTCTGCTTCGACCTCTGTAAACCAAAAACAAGTACTATACAATACACATACAAAACACATAGATCAGATTCTTTATCTTTCTGCTTCTCCTTTCTTGTTCTCTCCTTTTTTAGTATATGAAGTTAATACTCTTCTTCTGCAGGCTGACTAACTTTATATTTTATAATAATGATAAATGTGACAAACGTCACATGTATCCTTCTTAATTGGATAAATTGACAAATTTATTGAATGAAAGGTGTCACTAAAAATACTTCGCGACATCGGTCGCTGTTTTTCTTCTAAGCATTTTGTCTTGTATACTTTGAAAAGATGTTGTATATTACGAAACACATCTTCCAGGAAAAGTTTTGAGGAATTGGCTCTTCCATAGTGTGATGGAAGTTTGGGTAAGCTATTAAAAAATTGAGTCATAAATAACTTGTCTCTTGCTTGTCCCTGTTTACTGGATAACGTCTCTTCAACTTGTTTATTCGAATCGCTTATTCCATGCTTACCTTTCTTTACCCAATCCATAACGCAGTATTTACCCAAATATAATGATTGTAAAAACATCTTCTTGCAAACTTGTATTTTGGCGTTACTGATACTTAAATAGTAATTTAATGTGGTATGCCTGCGACTTAACTTACTTTGGGTATATACACGTTTCCGGGGTACACTTATTACATGATTAACAACATAAACTTTTCGTTGCTCCCAATTCATGGTATTCCAAAATGCTTTAAAAATTTCTAAGCGCTGCTCTTGTGTTATTTGCGAACACTGCTTTGATTTAACTCTAAAACATTCTTTGGAAGTACAAGTTGGTCCAATTTGTCGTTCTTTCCTTTAAGCATCATTGGTTACTTTACTGAGAACATTTCGTTAACCGATATAAGTCTTACCTTCCATTCTGAGTTGTTTGTTATGACTTTTTGGCGCGGCTCTCAGGCTTCCGTTTACGGTTTCGTTTTCTTAACACTGTAGTTGTTTCTTCTTGAGTAAGTGGTTTCGTAAGATGTTCGTGATTATCCGAAATAGTATGTTCGAAAGAGGCTATAATAGGAGTAGAGGCTGTAATCATTTAAATTTGAGAATCATCAACGTCTCTAGAAACTTTACTAAGCAGAGATGTTTCAATTATTACTGGTATATTATTAATATCAATAGTAGTAGTGTCTTCTGACTCATTAAGGAAGTCGTTTTGCTTGTTGTTGTACTTATGCCTATGCATAAAAAGGACAAATACAATTTAAAGTTTAACTATTATCGTTGAGCGCTAATGCCTGTACGCTAATACCTTGTAAACCAGAGAACCGAAATACTAAACATAAATTCGGTGTAATGTTTGGGTTACGAGGTTTTTACAAATGTGGGTTACGGGGTATTGCTATTCATACTCTCAGCAATGGGGATAAGAGCTATTAGAAAACCCATTTATTAATATAAATAATGAAGTATGGCTTACAAGGATTTTTCCACATGCGAGTGTAGGTTTACACTACACAATTCTGCAAAAACGCATTTTTCAATTTTTGTGGGTTACGAGGTATTAGAACGGCACAGACGATATATCTTTGAATAATATATTTAGATTTGATTAGTACTTTTTTCTGAATATATTAAGGCAGAACTCTTGCATTTTCCTCTCCTTAAATTCGTTTTTGATAGTTATAAAGATATTGATGTTACCCAGTTCTCATGTTTTAATAAAGAACTTGATTTGGAATTTAAAAAAATGATTTGCTGATTTCCACAAAATTGAAAATCTTCTTTTGGTTGCGCAGCCATTACATTCTACGCCTCTCTATGCTTCTCTTTCTTTGGATCTTTCCCTGCATAATCAGTTAGAGCATAGAGTTTTTCTTTTTAGGGAGAGATATAAAAATCGAGGTTAACCACCCTTTGTTAACGAGGTTAACGATTTTGGCTAATTACGCTGTTTTTGGATCTATTATCCTGGATTTATTATATGGATAAATTTGGATCTATTATCAGAAAATAAGAAAGCAAGTAATCGTCATCTAATTAATTCTAAATATCAAACCTTAATTTCTCAATTTTCTTCCTTCAAACAGTTATTCACAGATGGATCTAAAACAGAGCGTTGTGTAGCATCTGCTTTTGTAACAGATGATGAAATAAAGAAATATAAACTAGCGGATACTAATACTATTTTCACAGGAGAACTTTTTGCAATACATAAAGCCCTATGTCACGTTACAAAATGTCCTGAAATTAACTTTTTAAAAATTACTGACTCAATAAGTTCTCTAGAAATCATCTCAAAAATCTATTCTTCCCATCCTGTGGCCAAACTCATTGGACAAGAATTGCACAACCTAAATCACATAAACATTGCTTTTCTGTGGGTGCCATCTTATATTAGATTTACGGGAAACGATCTGGCGAATAAATTTGCACGAGAAGCCTAAGAGGACACAACTATTAAGGTCTATCCAAAAACTCCAGCGAAAGATCTCAAATCATATTTCCACAGCAAAATAATCAATATATGGAGTAGCAGATGGCACAAAAAACAAGCAAAATTGCTTGAGATAAAACCAATATTTCAATCATTGTCTGATAGTTTCATTAATCCTTTTTTTTGGTTATCGTCACACGACTGCGGCTTGGTTATAGTCGCCTTACGCATGGACATCTTATGACAAGGGATCCCCAATCGGAGCGTTATGCTTGCGAGACCCCGCTAACAATAAAACACCTTCTAGTGGAGTGCCCGTTACACAGTGCGAAAAGCTTAGACAGTAAATTCGGAATCCCGGAGAATTTGAGAGGACTATTTTTGAAGTGCGGTGCCAAAGTGATTATTCAATAGAGCCCCTTAATTCAGTAACGTTAAACGTCATACGTTATTCTGCTCATGCGCATTAACAGAAAAATAACGGATTACTTTATTAGCGGATAAGGTTTTCCCTTATTAGAGAGTTTTTAAGCCCCTTATTTCAGTAACGTTAAACGTTATACGTTATTCTGCTCATGAGCATTAACAGAAAAATAACGGATTACTTTATTAGAGGATAAGGTATTCCCTTATTTAGGTAAAGATAAGGTTAACGTTATTAAGGGATTACGTGTTTGTAATGTTGTCAAATGCCAGATATATAAATCATAAAAAACAAAAAAAGAGTCATATGAGCAGCTCTCTTTCCTTGTCTAAGAGCAGAACCAAAGATAACTATGATAGAATAAAAAAAAATAGAAAATTTAGTTCAGCATCTTTCTCTTCAATTGTTTAAAACACAAAATGTAGTCTTGGTGCAACAGGTATTACAGGATCAAAAATATTGTGAAGAATTAAGCCTCTTATCAAATTGTAATCTATTACTTCTCTGTGTCTTCCTCATCTATTTTCTTAGATTATAGCAAATTATTCAAATAAAATAGGTTATAGAGTATTCACGATTGAAAACAAAGTATCTGACCCTTGGCGGAATAAATTTAATCTACTATAAATGGTATAAACAAACCAGACAGCTGTTGATTTGAATAGAATTATTAAATTTTTTTAGTAAATTTCAACATTATGACTAAATTAAATGACAAAAATCAATAACCCTGTTATGAGACAAATTGGAATGGACAGAATCCAAAGAAGAAATATACAGATATTTACTTCACAATATTTTAAACTGTATTTAACATTGTTGTAGGGAGAAATTTTGGAAAATTGTAGTAAAAATCATACAAGTACATCAGCAATGTATTCTAGTATATATTTTTGTCCAGATTTATCTGAAATTAAACCATTTGGTTGTCTGATGAATGATTATATTGGCCACTATATTTTGTAAATAAAAGATTTATTTTGTTTCAATAATCTATTATTAATAAAAAAACTACCTTGCGAATGCCTTCGTTTTTATTTAGGTAAAACATAAAGATCATTAAATGTTAAAATAAGTGAACAACAAATGTATAATTTATTAAAAAGTCAGTTCCAAACACTGAAGTTAAAATTTAAGAATTCATCACTTGAAAACTGCTTCCCCTTCAACCAATGGCCTCTGCTTCACCACCACAATACACAAAGATATCATTAAGGCTAATTTCCTTTTTTAAATGATAAAAATAACTCGTCTTAAACCAAACTAAACTTTGAAAAGCAATGGTATTTTCGACTGTCATGTTTGTTTATACCATTTATATCGACATATAACTGCCGTTTCGTTTTATAGGTTACGTTCGTCAAATGTCAATTAACGATAATCTGTCATAGCTTAATTTCCGAAAGGATTCAAAAACTATTTTAAGTAAAAACGTTATCCCTTATTTATTATTCAAGGCGCATGACAAGTATAACGTTTTACGTTTAACGTCCATCGAAAAATAAAGGGCCTAAAAACTCTCTATTTAGATAAAGATAAGGTTAACGTTATTAAGGGATTACGTGTTAGTAATGTTGTCAAATGCCAGATATCTAAATCATAAAAAACTAAAAAAGAGTCATATGAGCAGCTCTCTTTCCTTGTCTAAAAGCAGAACCAAAGATAACTATGATAGAATAAAAAAATAGAAAATTTAGTTCAGCATCTTTCTCTTCAATTGTTTCCAACAAAATGTAGTCTTGGTGCAACAGGTATTACAGGATCAAAAATATTGTGAAGAATTAGGCCTCTTATCAAATTGTAATCCATTACTTCTCTGTGTCTTCGTCGTCTATTTTCTTAGATTATAGCAAATTTTCAAATAAAATAGGTTATAGAGTATAACGTGGTATAACTGCCGTTTTATAGGTTACTCAAAAACAGGACTCAAAAACTATTTTAAGTAAAAACGTTATCCCTTATTTATTATTCAAGGCGCATGACAAGTATAACGTTTTACGTTTAACGCCCATCGAAAAGTAAAGGGCCTAAAAACTCTCTAATATCTAAAAGCAATAATCTATTTATAAAAAAATAATCGTTACGCTATTTAATTATTGTTATTACTTTTTTTTTTCGCTAATAAAAAGAAAATATTTATTTACATTTTACAAACTCGCATTACCCTTACAGACTGACGCGAGTTTGTAAATAAAAAAAAAGATTAATATAAAAATTTCAAAATAAAATATTTGGAATACATATAAAATCATACTGAGAGCCTGGAATGAGGAACAAATCCCGGAAGAGTGGTGTATTGGCATCGCATCGTTTGCCCGATACACAAAAAGGATGATCAATTGGAATGTATAATTTATAGAAAAATAACCCTCGTCGCCTGAGTGCATATTCAGAGGAACTTCTTGGCAAATATCAAAGTGGTTTTAGGCCTGGTCGATCAACAACAGACCAGATCTTTGTGCTAAGGTAAATACCATCTTTTCGTATATTTTAAATCGGCCTATGATAGTGTCCCAAGAACTAAATTGTGTAAAGCCATGGATGAATTCCACATATCCGACAAACTGATAAGATTGCTTAAGGCTACAATACGTTAAGTTGTTTGGAAAGTCGAAATACAGGGCGAACAATCACATGCGTTTGAATCGCATGTTGGGCTGCGATAGAAAGATGCGTTGGTGTGTCTCCTTTTCAACATAGCTCTGGAAAAGGCGGTCAGGGATGCCCAAATAGACAACAGAGAAAACATTTTTAATAATTCTTTCCAAATTTTGGCATATGCAGCTGATGTTGACCTAGTTGCCCGCACAACACGCAAACTAGTAGAAATGAATACCACCTTGTCAAATGCCTCAAAAAATATGGGCCTGCAAGTAAATGAGAAGAAAACTACGATAATAGCATCAACACCCAACAATAGAGCCAGTAACATCGGCCACCATTTCACTGTTGATAACTCTACTTTGAAGTGGTAGACAAATTCTTATACTTAGGCTCCCTGATCACCAAGGAGAACGTCATGACGAAAGAAATCAAGCAAAGAATAATCCTAGCAACCAAATGCTATTTTGGATTGGGTAGACATGTGAGAAGCAGAAACTTAAGCCAAAAAACAAAAATAACCATATACAATACCCTTATATAACCAGTGTTGACATATGGATCGGAGACATGGACCATTTCCAAGGCAGATGAAAACCTCCTGCTTATACTTTAACGAAGGATCCTGAGAAGA